GATGGACAATCAGAAAGGACAATCTGTACAGTGGAGGATATGCTTCGAGCTTGTGTTCTTGACTTCGAAGGCCATTGGGATGATCATTTACCCTTAATAGAGTTCGTTTACTATAAAAGCTACCAAACAAGTATCAGCGTGCCTCCGTACGAGGTGTTATATGGCCGCCTATACAGATCACCGATCTGTTGGGAAGAAGTGGGTGATAGAAAATTGTTCAGTCCAGACCTTGTGGAGGAGACTACAACTAAAATAGTTAAGATCAGGAAGAACATCCAGACAACTCAGAGCAGTCAGAAGAGTTATGCAGATACCTAGAGGAATTTGAAATTTGAGAAAGGTGATTTGGTGTTCCTTAATATCACTCCTTTCAAGAAAATTAGTAGGTTTGGCAAGATGAAAAAACTAAATTCCTGATTTATTGCGCCATTTGAAATCTTAAACAAAATTGGCACCACCACCTACAGACTGGCACTACCTCCAGAACTATCCAGGGTTCATAATGTGTTTCATGTGTTCATGCTACACAAGTACAACCCGGGCCCCTCTTACGTCTTGGCCCACGAGTCCCTTTCACTCCATGAGGATCTATCCTATGAGAAGGTACCTGTGGGTATTGTGGACAGAAAGAGTAGAGTACTCCGCAACCGGAAAATTCTCTTCATTAAGGTCCTATGGCAGAATCACACATAAAGAGAAGCCACATGGGACCTAGAATCAGACTTCAGATGCAGTATCCCCAACTATTTGATTGAGTGAGAGAGAGACAAATTTGAGGGACTAAATTTCTTTCAAATGAGGGAGACTTGTAATATCCGAACCCGAAATTTAGCCCAGGATTAATTTTAAAAATTAAATTAATATATAAAAATAAAAATTTTAAACTTATAAATTTTTATTTAATATAAAATTCAAAAAAAAATAAATAAATGATGAAATTGAAAATAATTTTGGAAAAATGGAGTAAAATTTTCGGTGTTTGGGGGTGTTTTTGAAAGAAAATTAGAAACTATGAGTCAAAACGTAATTTAAAAAAAATACACCACGTAAAACCGTCGAGTCAGCAATTTCGACAAACTGGAGCGCGCCAGGTGGCAAGGCACGCTGACTCGGTGCCACGCAGGAGGCCACACTATCAATCCGCGTGCCCGCGATCGGACGGCCCGAATATGTTCTTACACGCATGGACAGTCTGGATCTGTTCTCTCCTCGAACGCAATCGGACAGTTACGATTAAATGTGATGAATGGTCCAAATTTATTTTCTATTTAAACGCGATCATACGGTCTAAATCAAATCGCAATTAACAGTCCAAATTCATTTTTTCTTTAAAGCGATCGGACGGTCGAGATCAAACGCGATGAACGGTCCATATTAAAGGAAGACGGGTATAAATATCTCACTTTACACTGAACCCTAACTCTAGCTGCCCGCCCCTCGTCGGAGAAGAAGAACCAGTCGCTGAAAAAAGGAGCCGACCGCCGCCCGCCACCGCGTCGGAGCCACTTCTGACCGCTAAAAAAAGTAAAAAAGATTATTTGCTCGAAATTTTATTTCGAACACCCCCATGATCAAATCTGAGCAAAAGGACCAGTGGATGAGTTAGAAACCGCGGCTAAACATGTTTTCTCGCAGTGATGAGTATAAAACCCATCGAAATTGGCCAAAACCAGCTGAAAACGGCTAGTCTAAGGTAAATCGCCACTCGAGCGGCAGTGACGCTGTGCTGGAATTTTAAAATTAGCCAAAAAAAAAGGTTTTTAACACCGATTCTAGGTTTTTTGGGGCATTTCTAGGTACTTAAAGTGTGTTTTAATCTCAGAAAAAAATTCAAAGAACCCGGGAGCCACGAGTAGACGCATCTGAAAGTTTAGTGTTTCGGACACCGATTCGAGTAAGAATTCCTCACCTTATTCCCTATTATGAAATTGAAATCTAATTATAAATAATACGGTATTTTGTAAAATTTAAAAAATTTCGATAATTAATTACGGATTACTAATGGAGCCAAAATCGGTTATTATTTACTGTTTATCATGTTTTAACTGATTGATTGATTTTACAGTTTTAAATGCATAATAATATACTGGAGTTGGTAAGGTAATTCAATTGTGTTTCCTTTATGCATGTATTACTTGTTTTGCGTGATTTACAGTTAAGTTGTGAAACTGGAAATTAAATGTAAACAGAAAATTGCTTGATTTAGTGAATAATTGAATGGTAACCTTACTGGATATCTTGAGAGATGGTGGACGGACCGGATACATAGGGAACCCTATCGTGAACGTTGTCTCATACTGGATGGGGTATCGAGAATTGGTATTTTGGCGCTCATATCGGACGATGTATTGAGGGATAGTATTTTTGGCACTCATACCGGACAGGGTATAGGGACGGCCTGTTAGTTAACAACGTTGAATAAGAATTTACGCATAGTGGAAACATTCCTATGAACCCATATAGATACTAGTAAACAAATAAAAAAAAGTTGTTGTTCTGGCTAATTGAAAATGAGGTTATGATGTTGTTTGTGTTATTACCTCTTAGATCGGTTTTGAAAATCTTACTACAGTAAGTATGCAATAAATGAATTTACTTAAATTAAGAGTTCCATTAGTTGTTTTTATGATTTTTACTAACCTTCATTTCTGTATCGGTGAGTAGTGTGATACTCTTACTAGACTAATGTACCTCACACTTTCATTAACCATTTCAGATCAAGAGAACCAAGATCCAGATCCTGATCAATAAGGGAGTTGTAAATAGTTCACCACATAGACTCCCTTCAAATGCTAGTAAATGTCGTCCTATGACACCTATTTGCTTACTTTTCATTTATTTTTTGATTTTTCGCTAGTTCTTTTAGAAAAGTCATTCTCGTATTTCTATTAAGTATTCTAAATTATTGTGTAAGGAATGTAAACTCTAACTCTATCATTTCGCTTCCGCATTTAATTTATAATTTATTTTCTTTTAAGTCTCGGGTTATTACATACATAATGTGAAAACATACTTCTTCTACATCTTGATATATGGATGTATGTATTACCTACACCATATGGGATAAATAGTCTAAGCCTTGATACAGGGAGATATATATCACCTACACCATGTGAATTAGATATAGTTATGAGTCTTGTTATAAGAATATACTGTAGTTGTAATTATAAAAACCTTAGAATTTTTTTTTTGAATGTTTTGCTAATACTTAATGTAAATTATCCTAGATGTTTAAAATGAAATGAAATTATTTTACAGCATAAGTTTCTTTACTATGTACCAAGTATATTTTTGGTACAATTAGTAAATTCTATTTAATCCAATTAGTTTGATTTTTAGATAGTTCATTAAGTTGTGAGCTGACTCCATCTTCTTTTCTTACATATTTTGAAGTATAGATTACAAAAAGGTACTTGAAATATATAAGTGGCTGAGGTCCCGAATTAAATAATTAAAATATTTTAGTTAAAATTTTGCACTTTGATTAAAATTTTTGAGTTTTGAGAAAAAGTTTTAATTAAAAGGGCTTATTGATTATTAAATTTTCAAGATTGTTTTAGTTAGGCTTAAGATTTCTTTGATGTTCGCATATTTTACAGCATTTTTTCATCAATGTGGGTTATAGTAATGTGCCCAACTCTGGATTTCAAGCGGTACATATAAAAATCCAGCTGATGTGGTGATAAAGATTGTAACTTGAGACGAGCACTAATAACATACCAATGCAAAAGGACTAAGCTCCAAGTGATTCGTGAGGAGCATACATTCTCCACATGGACTGGAGACGGAGGAGTGTGTTAAGTGGGTCTAATCCACATTAAACACAATAGGAAACATGTATACATATACATGTGTGAAAGTGTACGTGTGTACAGGAGTAGTTTTCTTTTTGGGATTTGGTATGTGTGTTTTCCTATAGGATTGTGAATGTAAAATGAGTAGAAAATTTGAAAAAATAAAATAAAATGAAGAGGGTTGGTATTATGAGATACACAACCAACAACACATGACATGAAAAAAAAAAGATAATAATAAGAGAGCTTCAGTAGTAGGAAAATTAATTCTGGGTTTGTGCAAACCAAGAAAAAAATATTAGGATTCTTTTATTTTTTAATTAGCTTTTTGGGTATTATCAAAAATTAGCGAATATTTATAATTTAAGAATATTAAAAAATTATTTCTCTACTATTTATCTCCAAATAGAGAGATTTATATTGGGTTAACTAGGAAAATAAATTTAGATGTTTCTTGATCGTAAAATTTAGATTTGAAATTAATTTGAAATTATTTATATTTATTAATTTCGTGATAATAGATTTGATTCAAAATTTATCTTATGATTTTTTTTTCTATATTAGATGATTTTTCATTTAAAAATTTTGTTTTCTTTTTTTTTTTTTTTGTACTTGTTATTTTCTGCCGTGTGATTAAATTTTTTTATAATTATATTTAATTAAATATATAAATTAATATTATTCAAAATACAAGAACTATTTCATACAACTCTCTTGGAGATATAATCTTTTTTATTTGTATCGCAAATTGTGAAAGTTAGTTTTATATAGTGAATCTGCAGGTATGATGATAGATGATATTTTTCATGGTGATGATTTGTTAAGAAGCTTAGGTTACAATCTTACCATGTGTAAATCAAGATTTTAGTCTTTCCTAGGCTCACATTTTGTCATGAATGGATGATTAAGTCGATGATCAAGTATGCCAACATTGCTGGACATGAGCTGTGTATTTTCCTTGTTACTTTTGTTGTATATAGGTATGGTGGTATATATATATATATATATATTCACGGTAAATTAAATAATATTTTCCGTCCTAATATATGCAAGTTAAACAAAAAGGAAAGCAAATTAAATAATATTAAAAAGATCAAAAATCATGTATGTTTAATTTGCTCCCAAAAACCAATTCTCTACATATATCATAACTTTTCCCTAGCTAAATAAAACAAAAACAAGAATTAAAGAAATGGGTTTGACGTACTATGTCATTTGCTTCTGATGTTGCACCACCAAAACAGACGCTTTAGTATCAAGATCCGGTGAAGCAAGCAGATCTCCAATGACACCCAGCTCTGGAAACTCTCTCCATTCTTCAAGACCTAGTTTAAAGCAACTTTTCATATCATCACTTTTCCCAACTATAAAGAATTCGAACTCATCCACCAAAGATCTAAGCATGGGAAGCCACCTCAATCCCATCTTTCACAGTCTCCTCCATGTACCTGATATTATTACTTTCTATCTTATTTTGCCTCATATCTCTTAGTTCTGTGGAATCAAGCATACTGTTCCAATCATTGATGTTAGCACTTCCCTCCATGGATGAACAGAATCTTAGGACAGTCATCTCGATTCTTGAGTCTTTTGCCATGCGTCTGGCTAATACCAGTGCTTCTCTATCATCTTTTCCTCCGAAGAAGACCATACACATTTTACAAGATCTGAAAGATGATTCCTCCAAGCTTCTGCGACCTAATCGTTTACGGTCAACGAGAATGGCAACTGAGCAAGGTGCTCTTCCAAGGACGCTGCAATTTAGGGTTCTTATCGTGTTGCTCTCTGATATAACAGCTGATCCATCGAGTGACCATGTTCGATGAAATGGGAGGATAATAAGTGAGGTGAGTTTGTCAAGGGCAAGCATGCAAGTATCCTCGTACATGTGTTCAGGTGCGGAGACTGATGTAAACAAATTCACATTAACTGAATCCCAGTAATTTGATCGAAATGAGTTGAAGGAGATTATTACGTTTTCAGAATAAGAGCGAGCACCCACTGATTTGCTCTGCATTTGATGAGAAATGAAGAGAGGAGTAGCCTGACCAGACAGCTCGATAAGATGCAGAATGTTTACATCAAGCGGGCTTTCTTTTGTTGGATATGAGGCTTCGAGGAGATTAATGATGGGGATTATATTGTCGAGTCTATGAATGCATGCAAGGATTCTTAGCTCCGAGTTTGGTTTTAAATGAAGCATGTCTCTTTTCTGATAGCCTGCATATTTTCTTGATGGATCGTAAAGGAATTGAACCAAGATCGGTAGAATGTAAGATGTTACCATGAAGAAAAGTATGATTGTGGTGAAAGAATCTTTCTTCACAATCTGTAAAGAAGTCCATTCGGAAATATTAGTTAATGATACAAGAGACTAAAAGTAGGCTAAGAAAGGATGTGTGTGTGTGTGTGTGTGTGTGTGAGTGTGTGTGTGTGAGTGTATGTGTGTATATATGTATATATTTACGTACATTCAAGTCGTGCGTGAAAGCATAGGAGGCTAACTCAACAGTGCCCTTGTAGTTCATAATAAGTGAAAGTGCAGCAGCATCCTTCCAGGGCATCCTGAAAGCTATGCAGGACATCAAACACGTAAAAAACTTTGCTGCAAATGCCACAAGGATCAAGTTTAATCGACGGAAATTTCTTGCTAATTTCATGTCGACATTCATGGAAGATGAAGTGATAAAGAAAGGCAACCAGACACCATTGATGAAGCAGTCAAACTTGTCAATCAAAGCAGATCCCAGAGGTGGTCCAGCGGGAAGAGCCAAACCCAGGATATAAGGACCAAAGGGAAGAAACTGTTCAAACATAGCCCAGTAAACTCCAGAAGCAAACACAGCAGCAAGAATGACGTATATATATATCTTCCTCACAGGTCTACCTTCAGGTGTTCTTCCAATTATCCAAAACATGGCGGGACGCCAAATAAAGACAGCGAAAAGTAGGAAAGCAGCCATTGCTGCCAAGTCAATCCATCCATTTTGGGCATTAGAAATACCGAGTTTGATGCAGTTGAAGATGAGTGAAAGTTGCAGACCAACCATGTCACTGACAAAGGCAGAAGACATTCCGAGTCGACCCAGCTCCGAATTCTGCATCCCCAAATCGTTGATGAGAGAAATAATGACTGGGAAAGCTGAGAGGGATTGAATGAAAAGAATGAAGACAGATTCGTCAAGGCTGGTGAAGAATTTGTTGAACTCAGAAGGAAAAGATAACTGGCTGACAATAACGGGGCCTAGAACAGATGAAATTCCAAGAACTGCAGCCTTCCCTTTGGTTCCAAACATTATGCCCCAATCCATTTTCACTCCCATTAGAAACCAATACATGGTGTAACCAAATGATCCCATTGTTCCAATTACGTTTTTCCTGTAATCTTGGGGGAAGAATATGTTTTGAAACTTTTCGTTGCTGTGGAAAAATACAAGACTCAGCAAAACACCACCCTGGTAATCAATCAATTATTCAAACTCATAAACACATATTTATATCATATTGTAAAAATAAAAATTCTGAAAAGAAAAAGAAAAGATATTCACGTACTGCAATCTGAGAGGTGAAACGAGACATTCTGGCACTCTTGCAAATGTAATAAATGGCTTGCCATGTAATGAAAATGAAGATCATAAACATCTCTAAAATGGGCAAAGAATACTGCCAAATGTCCTTGGCCTTTTCAGAATTCTCCATCTTTGCCCATAGTCCAAACGAATTCACCTTCGCTGGAAGCTCCACGCATTCTTTGTTCGGGATAATGGAAATCATTCTGATTGATCTTCAAATTATATCTATAATGAATGAATTATGAATTCATATATAAGTTTACACCTCCAAAACTAATCAAAAATTATTATAGCTTATATATATACACACAATATATATATACTGATAATTTGTTAATGAAACTTCATTTTAACTGGAGCTGTTACCAACTTATACTGTCCTCTTAAACATTATTTCTGTTGTGCTGCTGTTCGTTTCTTTTCTCTCATGCACAAAATGTTATTTGCAATACGTTTTTTGTTATTAAATTTTCTTTTAATTAATTACTAGTTAATAATTTTTTATCACACAAAATGTCTATTAAAAGTAAAAAGATGCTGTATTTTATACTCTCCATTTCTTATTTTAACCAACTTTCTCAAAAACACGATTTCTTTTTCCCTGCAAATTTGTTCTCTAATTTTAATTACTATGCAACTTAACTCATTTGCTTTTAATTGTGTAAACATTTATGTGAATATTGAGTTTAGAATATGTTGAAGAGATTGTTTTAATTAATATGATATATTTAACAGTATTTAGATAAACTAAATTAACTCAAAAAACAAAAAAAAAAAAAAACAAAAGTAAACAAGTTTAGTCTTTTCATAAAATAACCAATATATATTTTTAAAAAATAAAAATAAATAAATAAATTTTGCAAATATACTAGAACACCACCATTTAATATATTGATGAAAGGAAAACCAAAAGGCACAACTCACTTTGTTACAATATAATCATGAACTCACTCCAATGGCAAAACTTAAACCTCTAGCAAATTTTCGCATTTGAATCACCCTCAATGAAGAGCTTCATGTTACTTTGACATATATGCCCTCGATTGCCTTAAGTATTAGAATCGACCTTGTTTTACCCCTATTTTAATGCATCAATGTCGAACTTTAGTTTATTAGGTAGAATTATCATCTAATCTATAAATTGTACTTGTGTTAGATTTCTACTCTCATCACATATTTATAATAAGAAAATAGGTAGTAAATTAATACAATATTTTTATTATTTTTTTATTAGAGACTTGACTCACAATATTAAGTTTGATTCACACTAAATTTTTTACCTCTCCGACAGTTGAGTATTTGTTTCTACACACCTTTTTATTTTTAACAAAATAAATTAACTAGATAGCTATTATCTTTTTTTTTTTTTTTTGGGAATTTCCTTAAGAATTGCCGGATGCCATAATAAAAATAACGAATATCCCTAGAACAAACCCATGAAATTCCATAAGATAAACACAAGCTCCACACCGACCATATTTCTTGGCATTTTAGGAAAATATTGAGTATTTTACTCTAAATCCTCTATACGAGAAATACACTTGTTTGGGACTTCTAATATGCAATGACAACAATGTGAGACTTCAATTACAGTTAGTACATGCCCCTTTAATAATTCTCAGCAAAGGCCTTCACTTTACATGATAATTAGATGATAATTGTCAACTAAACTCCTTATGATATTCTTTTACTTGTTATGACTATTAATAAACTTAACATTATCATAATCTTGCTAAATTAGAACCATTTTAAATATTGTTAGTACCTTGTGTCTCTTTTTTCTTGTTCTTTTTCCTTTTAATAATGTATTTCTCTAAACTTTTTTTTTTATTGCAGTATACATTGTAAATAAATTATGATTAATTATCATTACTCATTAAGCCAAAGAATTCTTAATTTTTTAAAATAAAAATAAAAATTCATGTGGATCAAATCACAATGGGCTGGAGGTGGAAAATGAGCCACCTTCTATTACACTATACCTAAACTGGTATGGAAATAATATGTGATTTGTACCATAATCTAAATGTATATACTCTCTAACACTGATACAATCTGGAAAATTTGTTTAATAAATTCTTATTTTAAAGTAGTATTACAATATAAACATATTAAGAGGATATTACCTAAATGATCTTTCTAGACCTAGTTAGTATAACAGTTCTTTTTCTTTAGAAAATAATTATATATAAACTTTTTGGGAAATAAGGAGGGAATATGAGATTTAGAGGTAAAAAAACTCAAAATTCACTTGCGTATCAACCAAAATTTCTTTTATTTTTCATTTGGTTTTTAATATAATTCTCTTTATTAAAAATATTTTGTGAGTGTTTAATATGTTTATAAGATAAAGTATATATTACTAAAAAAACTCTCAAATAGAGAAATTTAATTAATATCATAATTTTCGTTAAACATACTAACTAAGTCATAGAAAAATTAATTTGAAGTGAGCAAGTTAAAAGTTTTTTATGTGATTTTGGTCAATTTTAAAATCTCAAAAACACATTATTTAAGGTGCTTTTTGAATAGATATAGTCTTTTAGAATAAACATGGATATAAAGCTAGCTACTGTATATTCTAATCATTTCTGCATTATTCGAATAATAAAAAGAGTTTTCTTCTTCTCCCTCATTTCTAGTGTTTCTTCTTTCCCAATTATGGTTTTATGGTATCAGAGTGCAATTGTTGCACTATAATGAATTTTTGGAAATCTTTCAGTCTTTTATTTTCTTGCTACTAAAGTTTCTAAAATTTTATGTTATCTATTGATTGCTTTCTTCACTAAAAGTGTATTCTTTCAAAGTTTTTTCGTATTTTAAATATACAATATAGCTTTAGGAAGTGGCAAATCTACCATTGATGATCCCTTAGGTACTTATTTCTACCATCATCCTATCAACCTCAGCCTAGTATTAGTATCACAATAATTAACATGAGATAACTATGCTTCATTAACCAAAACTATGATAAATGCTTTTTCAGTCAATAAGCTAGGATTAATAAACGGTTCAATCTCAAGGCTTAATGATGGGTGATGAAAATATATTTAATTCATGGATCCAAAAATAGTAACATTTTTATTTCATAGATTCTAAATTTGGTTTCAGAAAAGATTTTTTCTAACTTTATATACATATTTACATGTTAAATTAATTATTGAAGTAATTAATGAACTAATTAGGAACTTCTTTTTCAATACCCCTTCCCTTATTTCTCTTCCTTTTATTTCTCCTTTCTTCATCACACAACTCGTCTCCCTATTCTACTTGTTTTTCTTCCTTGATTTCGCGTCTTTATATCAAATTTGAGACACTTCTATGATGTTTCATAGTTCCTATCATGTAAAAGTGTGTATACATAAATGGCATTATTAGCAGAAAATGAAAAACAAGTTTTGACATAATACTAAACAATAGATTTGTAAAAAGGTTTTTATTTGCTCTACCAATAATTCACAACGGTGATCTTTAAGAAAAAACTTACTACTTTTATGAGGAATAAGAGAATGGTGCTTCTTCACTCTTCTCATTGTTCTTCTTCGCATTCCTCATCATTTTCATGACATAAAAAACAATTGAGTCACGATTGATCATTAGAGTGATCATTGCCAACACCTAGTAGACTAATTCCATATAGTAAGGTAACATTTATTCTCTGAGTTTTTTTTTTTTATAATTCTATTTGGTCGATGAGACAATAAGTAAAAAAATTTTCTTTTAATAAATGTATTTGATCTATCAGAAAGTCCAAAAAAATAAAACAAAAGGACAAATAATGATGTCTTATTAAATTAATTAAATTACAAAAATGAGTAGTATTATTCAAATTTAAGAAAGACTTTTATATTTTTAATTTTTTTAAAAATAATATAAAAATAATTGAGTCTTGATGTATTAAATTATGCAAATTTTTATATTTTATTCAAATAAGGTGTGATGCCCCTATTCTCCCTTGGAGGAGTTACAGTCGTTTAACACTATTTACACAATGAAAATGCAATACGTAAAAAATTTATAGATCTACCTCTTAACCACATTATAATACTACTTATAATACATGAGGTTCGTAAGATATAGTCAAAATAAAAGAAATACTCGTTCGGTTACAAAATATAAATTTTCATCACGGGTGCTTATTTTGTTCCTTTTTTATCTGGTTAAGAGGTTTGATCCTCCTGATCTAAAACTAAATCCTCTTTATCTGAAAATTTGATAAAATTAAATGGAATGAATTTTTCATTCACCCAGTAAGTATAAGAAATAATTTACATCTTAAGTATTTGACATACAGGCAAATAATCAATCAAATATATAAATATTTTCTTTTCATTTTTATTTGAAAAATATGAAATGTATAAAATTTTAATATTTCTAATTTATCCCTCATTATCCCCCTAACTTCTATCTATCCTTCTAGATCTCGCTAAGTTTAAGTTTATCCCTTAAAATCTCCCTAGATTCAATTTATCCCCTAAAATCCCCCTAGGTCAAATTTTATCCCTCAAAATCTCCCTAAGTTCATTTTATCCCCCAAATTCTCCATAGGTTTCATTTATCCCTCAAAATCCCCCTAGATTACATTTTATCCCTAAAAATTTCCTAGATTACATTTTATCCCTTAAAATTCCCTTAGATGACATTTTACCCCACAAAATCACTCTAAGCTAAATTTTATACTCAGTGTTCCTTAAGCCATATCTATCCCTCAAAATCACAATCAGAATTTCTCGCAATTCATGGCTAAATTGATGTATCTGTAACTCCTCAATGCGTATCCTTGATTCTCGCTTTACCTCAACTCAATTATCTATTTATAATTATTAAAATTTTAAATTTTTATTTGAGATTAAACAGTTATATCTATTATCCACCTAGTACATTGTAGTATCAATATTCACATTATCACAAGGGCAAGCACACACATAAAAAAAAACATGCAAATTGATCACAATAGTCCGTCACCAAGTGACGCAGAACATAACACACATCCCAACCATGTTTAAAAAGGATTTCATCCACCTAAGGATAAGGTTCAACACATCGCTGAATTTCAGTTATACCAATCTTAAACGAATTATCTCTAAGTTTTCGCTTCTTTCTGTTTTTGTATTGTTTTCTTTTTCT